GCTGCCGGACCTTAATCAACTTTCTACAATGATTTTTCCAGCAGCCTTCTCTGATCCACGGGATCAGGTTTGGCATTTAATCCCACTGGTAAAATATATCTAGATTTAATCTCTACAATGACCTTTTCCATGTTGGATGTCATATTATTACTTTTAAGCTATTTCACAATTTTTCTGGCCAAAAGACCAGACTCTTTTTTTCAAGATAGTTACAAGAATAGCCCTTGAGGAAGAGTGCTATGATTATGTTTATTTCTGCATTGCTAGACAAAAAAGGCTTTTGGATTTACACACCTTGTTATTTACTCTTTGAATAATTAATTTTCATGCAAGAATAAATTTCAAAATAAAATGCACGTGTAGGAAAAAGTAAGAAAAGGAATAGCCAACATCCTTACAATCATCTGTCTTGAAAAGTCAACACATCAGATGCCTGAGGAGAGAAATTTCAAGTGTGACTTCCTGGCTTTTCTTGTTCTTAAAACTGACAGAAATGAATATTGGCAAACACACTACATTTTTTCTTTCCTAATCTTTACTTTTGTCTTTGTTTAAATGGCCTACGATCACAGAACAAGTTATAGTGAATTAGTATCATGCTGAGGAGTTTCAAGCTATTTCTGCACAGGTACAATCTTTCTTCTCTGGAAAAGTTCTTACATAGCACAGTCAGAATACACCTCCTTTAGTGTTTATATGTGCTTTTGAAGCACACTTCCCAAATGTCCCCTGTTACTGTGCTTTGGTGCACACTTCCAAAATGGTTTGGACTGTATGATCTGGATTACTTTTCTAAAAAATTAAACCAAAAGGTTAAACGCACTCCAGGGAGTGCTATTGTGTATTCAGTCCATAGGACCAGACTACACATCATCTGCAGTAAAATCCCTGAAACACGTAGAAGATAAACATCAGGTCCTCCGGCCAACTGTTTCACTTTACATACCTAATACTGCATTGTACTATTTGAGTACATACACAGTCTCTGATTTCCAGAACGAAGAATTAGACCACAACTACCCTGTGCACTGGAGAGGTACTGCAATGTGACTGCGTGCATTCACTTCAAAAGAGACTTACACAAGAATAGCTCAGAATTTTCAGTTCAGCTTATATTGCTTTTGGTAAAGATCTGAAATGCTCAAAGCTGGAAATTCAACTATCAGTACTACAAAGAAATATGTCAGGCTATCAACCTTGTAAAGTAAACCATCTTAATATCCATAACTTTTAATCACCTCTACAAAACAGAGTAAAGAGAGAATCATGACTAAATGAACAAGAGTACTGGAGAGTTCCCACCTTCTACTCCAGCAATTAGCACGTACCTGCTTGAGAATGAAACGAAAGGAAAGAGGAAAAGAGAGAACCCCTCAGGCAGTAATGACAGACCTGCCTGGTCTTAAAGTACATGGCAGAAGCCATCAGTAGTTCTGCATCTCACACAGATTACAGCTTTGCTAGCATCCCTGTGTTCAGAAAAACCTCAAGGCAGGTGAACTTGATATTACAAAACTATTGTATAATCTACATACTAAACAGCTGTTTTCTCCACTGAAAGGGGTTCTTTTGTTTGTTTCCTGGATAATATTTTTCTAGATATTTTTTTTCCTCTCAACACACTAAGTTAAAAATCATGCATAAACACCACCAAACACACAAGGATCAATTATTTCAGTGTCTCATAACGAGATCCTGAATGTCAACCACTACATTCCTGACAAGCATCAACCTACTACAAACAGTAAATAAATCTTCATATCCTTGCCAAGCACACAAGTGCTCTTGTAAATATTAGCCTCTTTTCAATTTACCTCTCAGTATTTTCTCTCTTCCTCTTCCTTCTTATTCCTTCCAAATACCAAAACTCACTTCATCGCTCTGTTTTCTTTCCCTTACGTCTGAATCACACCAGCTGAAATACATATTTATGACCCTGTACCTGTACTAATATTTACTCATCTGAACAATTAAGCTACAGCTTATTATCCTACAGTACTGCATGGATAACGTTCTCCAGAAGAACAGACTCGGCATAACCACTCCGTCTGACTTTAAAATCTGTGAAATTTCACAATAAGCTTTGCTTTCTGTTCTATTGTTTTTATTAATACTAGTCAACTTTTTTCTCCTTCCTAAGACTTTAAAATTTTTAGCTATCCAGTTCTCTTTAGATATTGAATAAGCTGTTGAAGTGTGAGGAAGAGGGAAACTTGGGAGAAGCAATGTTATAGTAAGATTTCAGTTTTCAAATGAGCTAGTCAATGTTACCAATATTGATTATTACCTCAAAGTAAAAAATATTTGAAGATAAATGAATGTATGATGCCATTCATACATGAATGAGCTTCACTGCGAAGCTTCGGAACAGGAGTAGCATATAAACAGCATGAAGCAAAAAGAATCAAAACCCCAAACCAAGGTCTAAAAATAAAATAAATTAAAAAAAAACCATGTTGTGCCTGCATATTTTAATCCTCTAGTACAACTGTAAAGATTTTCAGTAGTCTGCTTAGTGCACTCACACACAAAAGAGAAAAAGTGAAATATGACCTGTTCAGATCTAAATGATTGTGACATCTCAAGTCTATGGACATAAACACTCGTATCACATTTGGTGTGAACTGAGTTCTTTCTGTAAGCATATTTTGACTATGTTATACGGCAGAACATTTTCTGAGACATTTTAAATCAAATTTTATTATGTTCTTAGTGCAATTATGTTTAGTACAGTATAAAGTATGTCTAATTACAACATCTACATATATTAAAAAGAAATCTCCGCTTTGTAAAAATCTATATTCCTAACTCTTCCCTTTCCTATTAGCTAAATAACAAACAACGGTTGAATTGTTCTCTCGTTCATAAGCAGTGTGAAATTATTTTGTTTCCTCCTGTTTCAACATTAACGTAAAGTCCTCAGTACATCTTTCATTCCAATTTTACAGAGGCATTTTTAAGCCAGCCTGCAAATTTCAAAGATTTTTTTTTTTTTTTGCTTACATATAACACAGGCAAAATATCATGACGTATGGGAATATCTGTAAGTGATAAGTTACATAGAAGAAGTAGTAGCAAGCAGCCAAACAACAATAAAACAGCAAATTCTCTACTAAGGTGCATAATTATGTTTCAGAGCATAGCTAAGAGCAAGAAACATCCCAAGAAAGTACACTCAGCTGAAGAGCAACTATAAGTTTTCCATTCAGTGCAACTAAAAAACCTCTACTTCAAAGTGACTTTTTTATTATTATTATTATTATTGTTAACATAATATATCCGAGTTAGTTATTATCTGCACTGTGTAGGTAATCAGGGCTGATGTATACACCTATCAAAAAATATAGTTATCAAGAAAATATGCACAGCTTTCCTCCACCGAAGTACTGCATTTTCTAGGACTGTATGATATGCAATCCTGCTGTAAATAACTGCTTAAGCAATGAGGATAATGTTCGTAAAGTTCTCTAACCTCACTCACGAGCATGCATTTTGGAAGAAAACATCACTTGGTGTAAATCCCTATAGTCAATGGAAATATATCATTACAGGCTCTAAAGGCCTATTCTTATTTTTTTTCCTCTGTGGCTTTTTTTGGTTGGTTTTTTTTTTTTCCCCTCTACAGAGGCTGGGAGTGGGTGGGTAGGTTGCTGTTTTTACTCAAACTATGACAAATCAGGAAAAAATTAAAATTGGCACTATTTCAGAGCTGGTCCTGTTTACCACTCCTCCCACTCATAGCCATGTAGAACATATATGGTAATGAAATTTCTCCTGGTGCAAAACCAGTAATATGGTACAGTAACAACAGAAAAGAATTTATAGTACTACTTAAAGTGATTTAACAGCTGGAAAGAAGGAGAAACAACGAACAACATGGGAATAGCCTGCTCCCAATGAACCACCAGGACGCATTGCACAAACTACTGATAACTTTTAAACTAAAGTTTGGGGTACACGAGTTAAAACTTTATCTAGGACCTCCAGTTAATACCCCCAAGACCTAGGTAGAATGGTAGAAAATTAAACAAATAGTTTTGCTCTTATCTTTACTTATTTAGAAAGCTATTCTGTGCAGAAATTTGCATATGGAGACTACTAATTTAACCATCACCCTCCCTATTTCCTAATAGATAACGAACTTCCTTGGTTTGGCTTCAAGATTGCCTTGACTTATATAAGCAGTAACAGCTCTCAAGGGATTTCTAACACCTACCGTTTACTTCTAACTTTTTGTTTGTTTTCTTATGGTGGATGAGGATGCCAGAAGCGGGTAGTATGTTGAATGCTAGACCAACTTAACTTCACCCGGAGATGTCCCTTTACTAAGGGAATTCACATCTGGCTATTTGAAGACAGCTTTCCACCTCCTCACTGGCTGAGTGGGGCCAAGATTTCGCCCTCGCCCACTAGTAAATATACGTACATGACAAGACTTTTCCCTAAAACAGGGAACTTTGTGTTAACTGAGCATCAAGGTTCAAAAATAATCTTGGAGACATCTCCAATCTGCCTTTTATTTTGCCTTCAGTTAAATAAAAATTAAATAAAGTCATTTTGTAGCTTAATATTTGTCATCAGTTAGTAAAATACAGCCTCTACAAAAGCTCACAGTGACTGGATTTTAAGGATACAGTAAGAATCAAAGTAGTGGATATTGAAGTTTCAAGAATAGTGAATTCTTTACTGAATTGTTTACTCAGTAAACAATCACAAATGTTAATTTAGATCTATAAATAACCACAGGTTAAAGGAAGAAGTTAGTATTGCTATTATTTCAACATGTAAGAAATCAAACGCGGAAAAAATAGAAGGTCAGTAAAGGAGTCATAATTAGAATTTAACAGTTAATGACATAAATCTCTGCCTCTTATTTTGATAAGTATAAAAGATCTTGGTTGGCATAGCTTTATTTCTACACAAACAGTAATTATTTACTTTTCGCCACACATGATTCACAGACAATTCTCAAGTAACCATAAAAACTAAGCTACACTTACCCTTGTGTGGGTGCGAATGTGCATCTTCAATCCATCATTCTTGCTGAAAGCTTTGTCACAGTAAGGACACTGGTAAGGACGCTCACCTGAAAGCAAGAAAAGTGTTAGCATCCATAAATATGGCCTCAGTATATGTGCCTTGCAGCACAGTTATTTGTCAAACTCAGGTACTTTTTTCTGGCCTTATCTTCACACTCAGATCAAACAAGAGGGATCTAAGAATTAGGAAAATTACAAAGAAAGGTCCACCTGAGCAGGATGCTGGGCTGGATTAAAATATTCCTCTCTGCTGTTTGATTTTGTTCTAGCAACACAAGTACACAGAGTGCTGGGGAGGGGGGTGGGGAGGAGAAAAAAGAAAACCTCCTGCCCTTGCTCAAACCACATTCTACAGCGACTTACACATGGTCATTTTTATGGTTAGGCATTAACTGCTCCCAAGTATTTCTTCCATTTCACATCTGGTCATTATGAGAGCCCTCTGGGTGTTAGAATCCCAATGAAATAAAATCTTTTTTTTTTTTTAATGCTGAATCTGAACTTACTGTTTCAGAAGTTAGTTAATCAAAAGTCTCTGCAATTTTTTGCATTGCGATTTATGACTGAAATGGAAGCAGAAGGATCTTAGCATCTCCCTTGCAGCATCCCATATCTTAAAGGTATTTAGTTTAATGCTCCATTAAACTGGTGTCATTTAGCATCGATTTTCCCAAACTCACATTAGTGCAATGTGGAGACTGAGCTATTCAGAATCAAAGAGTGAAGAGTTTTTAAGCTACCTCCATAATTTGCAAGAAGCGATGCAGCTTTGTAATTCCCCAAGGATATTTTAATTTTTAACTCTTTAGACAATGCACTGGAATCCAAGTCGATTGCTTACTCTTCCTGCACACAATGCTTTAAAAGCAAGTACAGAGTTCAACACAACTATTTTTTTTGTTAACAAAATGGAATTTGTTTTCCACAATCATAATGCTGGACATGTAAAAAACCTTTATTTGTAAATACAAGTTAAGCAAAGCCTATTCTACTAAGTCAACACACAGCTTTCTGCTCATGAAAGAATCTTTGCATGTATAGAGAGATCTCAAATAGTCCAAATGTCAAACACTTATTAATACTCATACTCAATCCTGGAAAACAGGCAAGTAAGACTGACTACATTTTACAGTTAAAAAAACCCAACCAGACATATTTCACTGATATGCCAAAGATCAGAGTGCAAGAGAGTGGCAGTAACAGAGATAAGCATTTAAAGCTCCACAGTCCCTAATAACAGGGATATTCATCTCAACTTGGAGAAAGGAAGCCTCATCCCTCATCTTTTCTCTGCATAAGCGTTCCTCCATGATTGCTCAGAGGGAAGATACCGGATGTTTTCTTTCTTGGGAACAAGATGTCAAAGGATCACAAAAAGTATGTAACGGAGACAGCTTACAGAAACAGCTCTTCAGAGGGACAGATTGTGAATACAGTACAGCTGATCAACCGATAGTCACTATTCTTATATATCCATATAGTCACAGGTTTTATAGAGATTTGAGGGCAGTTGAGATCAGATGATAATTTAAGAAAGGGGATAAAAGAAAAACAACTGTTCTGTATACAGACTATTCTATTCTTTTCTTTCTTTTATTACTGTTTAGATAACTCTGTAAGGGAAAGCAGCAAAAAACTGTGTAGTGAAGCCTTGTGAAATACAAATATTTTCCTCTTTTGTATTCTGCCATCTCTTCAAAAGCACAATTGGATGCCTTTTTTTTGACGGTGACAACAATCACTGTGTCATAGCTGTGTTTTCATTGAGCAGTTTGAAATATGATACTCTCTCATGACCCTCAATGTCTTTAATCCATGCCTCCAAAATTCAAACACTCCAACAGTTGTCAGTACTCAAATATTTAATTAATTCAGCCGACATTTTTACGTTTTAGGGCTTTTGAATGTAGAAGTTACAGCTTTCAGCAGTTTGTAAGAAGATGAGCGTTGACAGGTAGGAGCCGTATCCCTCTCTCCCCCATCCTCGAGTCTCCTTAAAGTAAAAGATTTTTGCTTTCAAAGGATGGTTTTGAGTTTGTCTGGAATGGATTAACAGTGTCCTTCAGAAATTAACCATGGAGACCATGGTACTTGATGAGTAAGGCCTTAAGAGCTTTCAGCAGATGCCAGTAGAGGGCAACAGTATGACTTCATATCAACACATTACACCTGAAAAAGACTGGCTTCAAGCAAGTGTTATGTATTGTAAATTTTCAAAAATCTTCACTGTTCCAAAAGTTGAGTTTACGATGTAACACAGACTGCAAGCTCTGACTTGGCATTGATGCCTGGTGACATCTTATTTTTCTACATTATATAAACAACTTCTCACGCACTTGTGCCATTAATATTTGTCAGGAAAACAACCTAAAAGATGACTCCAAGTAATTTTACTGTTGCTCTTACATTATTTTCTTTCACCTAATCTTTGTAGCCTGTATGCCCAAACTATATACAAGTGCCCTTGCACTTACATAAGCAACTACTTCCCCTGTGCATACACATCTTTTTAAATGCGTAACTTCTCTTCTACCTCAAAGAGTTTTAGGATTTCACAAAATTAACTGTGGACCACTTAAAACAAACCTGTGCTTGCAACAGCCATGTTTCTTAGAATAAATTTCTTGGTCTTTCTGTAACCAGTACAAAGACAAGTTTGTGCCAGTGCAAGAAATATATGGATATTTATGATTTTTTTAAATAAAAAATTACTTGTATTTTAAGATTATTGGATTTGTGAACAAGAGTAAGATTCCCCTCATTTGACATCAGCCACATGAAAATATGGTCTAATTTTAATTAGTTGTTCTGAATCCCAATGAAATCAAGGACAAAAACTTAGGATGAATCGCTCTCTGGAAACGGTCTGACTTTGTTGCCTGTCTGAGAACTGAACGAACTGCCCTCTGTCAATACATCTTTTTCTCTGTTTACCGTATCAGGAGCCTACACAAGTAACTCAGATTAGATGTCCGTACTAACGGACAGCAAATTTTGTCAAGATTATTACAATCCTACTTACTAACTTCTCTATCTCTGGTAAAAATTAACTTCCCCTCTTGCTTCAGAACTAAACTAGGCAAACATTATTCATGCTACCAGTCAAGTTGCTGGTAAGAATGACCCCAATAACAGATTCATCAACAAGACCACTGGGGCAGCAGGTGTTTCCCAAGTCAAGTCTTACACATTCTATCCTGCTGTAAGTCCTCTAAGATAGGCAGGAGCTGTGGATCCTTTCTCTAATACTGTGAGATGCAAATGGCATAAGACGACAACAGAGAAAAAACAGATTTGAAATAACAAACGCGAAATATATTCCTCCCACACATGAAGATTTGATGAAGTGCAATGTTTCATACAGAACTACTACAAGCGTCCACAAATGACAGGGTTGTATGCTTCGACAAAGTTTAAAATTGTCACTAAAAAAAAGTAGAGAGCAAGTGTGATGTGATAAAATCTCCTGGGAAGGTGGCATTATCCATCAGTGCTTTCACATTTGTCTGCAATTAAGCAAAGACCACCAAAAATCAATTACAAGCATTGGAATATTAAATTTCAGATCAATTCACACACAAGAAATACTTCGAGAGTTTCAGATGTTCGACTTCTCTGATCAGAAAAGGAAGGGATCTGTTATGAGGAGATTAAAAGTAAGAATGACTAAGATGAGCAAATGAAATGGTGTTGCAAGTCACGTATTTCTATCTATTTCTCTTGTACTCATAAAAAGGAGTTACTAAGCATCAAAATGAAAGCAAGCTATTTCCTCTATGACAATCTACAATTTCTTCTTGGATTTACTGCTAAGAAGAATGCTTATGAGATATGGTCTCAATGTGTGATAACATTAGACTAAGAGGGGGTGCACCTTAGGTAGGTATAATTGTTGATGCTGATTAACAATTATGCCATTTGCACTCTGCATTTTTATATAAATATATTTTTATATATAAATATATAAGATACAGAAATATCTTTATGTTTGGAGGCAATGATAAATCCTTACCACAGGTATCATACTGAAGTAAATCAGCGCATCGGATTTTTACTATAATGCCTTTTCGTTGCAGTTCTTAGTAAAGCAAGTTTTCAAAGGTATTATTTCACAAAGTGAGGGTGGTTGTTTGTTGTTGTTGTTTTGGGTTTTTTTTTTAAATGTGATTTACATAAAAATATGGACAGTGTGGGGAAAAAACCTCAAACTTTCAACTTCCAAATACAGTACCAAGCCTTAATCCTAACACTTCACATACGGAAAATATCTGAAAGAAAGGCCTGACTTTCTATGTTATTGTTTGCAACTCTGCCATTAAACCACAACTGAGACTCTGATCTGCATTTTTCACTAAAACATTTCACCAGGCTTTCTACTTCGGTATAGTATCAAAATCCAGTAGGCATATTAAATACATCTTAATTTGACAGTTTGTCCACTCAACATGCCCAGAAGTAACGTTGTGAACGCAACAACAACTAAGAACAATTGCTGTCATTAAAATAGCAAAACATTCAAGTAAGACAGATGTAATAAATGCTATGTTTACCCTCAAGTTACAGCTGACTGTCATGTCCCTGCTGTCCAAGAACAAACTGCTCAACACATTAACGGCACTTCTGTACAAATAACCTCAAATAAATAATCCGTGGATAAATTGCAGTGGATTTAATATAATTCAAAGTCTAGACATTCCACTTCCAGATTTTGTATGAACAAAACCAAAGCTTTTAACATAATAAAAATAAATTTAACCCTAATACAAGGATTACAAAAAACAATACCATGATTGAAAACCACATGGGATTTTGATCTGAAAACATGTCATGATAGAATTGATATCCTTTTTTTTCCCCCTCAAACTTGTCCATCTCTAGTTTGAGATCACAATGCCTACTAGACCTTAATGTAGCATAAAAAGTTAAACACCAGATTCTTCCCGTTCAACTCAGGATCAACAGTTTGCTCCGAGATGTTTGCAACCAAAAGTCCTGTAACGCAGTATTTACAGTGAGTTTAGCACCCAGATTTCCCAAACTCCAATAA